TTCACAGTTGAGGAATGTCCTGGATTATGACGCGAGGATTGATGAGAGCATTTGTGCATTGAATTTGGTACTGAAATGGACCGAGGTTTGTGAGAATGTCCAGAAAGCTCTCGCGCGCACCTTCACAAAATTTACATTATTTTACATCTGGAATGGGGGGTCCTGTGTAAAAAATGTATTTTACACGTAATTTACATGTAATCTTTGGTGTGTAAATTACACAGCCATTCTATACCCAGCCCTAACCGTCTGAAAGCGTCCAAATCCCCGGCTTAGACTCGAAGAATGTTGCACGCCCTGCCGTAAGGTGGAGAGCGTGGGAACCCAGCACCTTTATGTCAGCAGTCACATGTGACAATATCACGCCCGACAACGAGCGATATAACACCATCCATGAAGCACGGCACCCTAAAATTCTTCCTAGAACTGCTAGTTGCATGTCAGACGAAGAGGTACATTTGCCCAAAAGCCATCTGGAGGAAAGTTATAAGGCATACAAAATTTTCTGTCACATTTTTTTTGAAGTGTTCCTACATGCTTTCCCGCTCAAACGGCGCTTTTTTGGAGAATTTTCTTGCAAAATTTGGAGCGCACAGCCACTGCACAGCCACATCGGCAGGTGCCGGCATGCACTTTGGTCATGTTGTGCTACCTACGGCAACCTCGGCACATTGGTTGGTGTACATTCCGATGTTTTCCATGTGTTTGTAGACTGTTTTAACTCTCATCCTAAGTAAATATTCATCTCAGGAGCCTCAAATCATACAAATTAAAGTAAAATTTTCTGCAAACTCGAAGATTTGGACCTTCCCACGGGGTACAGCCACTGATTTGTAAAGGTGCTGGGTTCCCACGCTCTCCACCTTATCTCACTGCGCTCGCTTTTCTTTGGTTCTTACCCGCGCGGGCCGTTGCGCCAGCATTGTCACGTGCAACTGTCTATCTACACTGCCACCGGAACAATCCGAACTTGAAGCGAAGCTCAACTCTATCTGAACGTCTTTTACTCAACCCCGGTGAGGTCCTCATCTCATTCAACCTGAGTTGTGATCTCCGTTGTAAAGACGTTCATTTCCATGGAATTCTTGTCTTGCTCTGATGCTAAAGATTCTATCTGAAATCTCCGCGGATAAATCTTTCAACACGCAGCACGACACGTTTTCCGTGGCATCCCTTGCTTCAAGTCAAACAACTGAAAATTTAACTTAGAGCTGAAATATCCCATCCAAATCCATGTAGTGCCTTGAAAAAGCAAACTGGCATTATGTGGTCCTGCAGAACATCTTTTGGGCGCATCTGAATTCATTGAGCACTGGGCATGAGTCATGCAAGCTCATCTTATAGCTGGACTACAAATCAGCTAAGAGCCTAAGCTAACTCTCGCCTGGAGAATCAGTTGCTCAACGACTCCAACTACCCCCGCGCTGAAACTTGTCCTGTAGTGCACTCACCGAAGCCTGAATAATGCCTCTGCGAATCTGACGCTCTGGATAATGCTGTCCACTCTTTTTCCACGTCACGAAGGTCGGTGCAAAAAATTGATTGCCTCGCGACAACGTCATGGGTAATTCTTAGGTTTAGCAGCATCTCCTCATCTTTTGAAATTCCATCTCCAGAAAATCAGGCAACCGCTCCAACGATGCTTACAGCGCTTATAGTGGGTTGTTCTGATTTATCTAAAGCTGGAATCAAAGGGCAAAGCGTCCAGTTGGCTCCTCCAGCAAGGAAGTTCCGGGAGCATAGAAGAAATGGAAAATGGGGCCACATCTTGCAGAAAACCTTGTAGGTCTCGCACGTGCTATAAATTCGCGTAATTGTGGCGCCTGTTTTAATTCAGCGGATTGCGACGGTGAGCGACTGAAGGAACACACGGAAGTCCAATTTATCGTCCCAAATGACGACCTCCCATTCCTTCCACACACCATGCACCCTCGCATATGTATTATCATGCAGCGATGCCTTAGCAGAGTGAATACAGCTGGCAAGAAAGGGGAGCATCGTCAAAATGATTTCAATTCCATCCTCCGAAGTCAGATGGTGAATATAGCGTTTCTCGGCCGGGAGTGTTTCTCGCATCTTCTTTTGAAAGAAACACACGCCTGGCGTAATGTCAATGGCCAAATTAAAGGAGCGACTCAAAAACTCGCCTTCGAAGCCCAATCCGTGCGGGTTATCCAGGGTTTTCGAGTCGTAAATAAGTTTGTGTTTGATCCGAGGGTCAGAAAGTGCAGGGTCGAGAGTGGCAGGAATATTTCCGCCAAATATTTTCGAGGTGCTTCCGGCTGATGCAGGGACGTCATATATTCATCTATGTACTATATGGAGTTACGAACCATTGTCGCATTTCAAAACAGTAAGACCAGTTGTTCCAGCCGCCAAAATTGCCTCCTTGTACGCATCTTTGCCAGTGCGTGAGAGTTTAGTGGACGGTGGCCTCGGATGGTTATGCGGTCCGGAGAGATAGACAATGGCACGACGGTCATCCCGGTCGATTGGTGCAAAGATCTTAATGGTTGCGTTGCATTTGCGTCTAATGAGCTCGCCTTTAATAATGTTGCCGTTCTTCGATGTGAGGGTAGGCTGAAACGAAGTCAGATCAGCATTGCTCTCGTCGGAGGGGCCAGAATCAACATACGACAAGTGCGCTCTCCCTTACCACCCTGTCTAGGTGGAAGGACGCGTGCGCAAGTTGCTGTTATCGTATTCACGAAAGACTTGAATTGACCGTTGTTTTGGAAGAGCTCGATGAGAAGGTCCTCGTCAACGTCACGATTGATTGTAACGAAGCGATGGCTTCGGCCGGCAGCAAAGTTCTCGCAGCCGATGAAGCCATACTTGCCATCCAAGTTCATCTAGAGTTTGACGAAAGTCCACCACTGACTGAGCGGAATAATTAATTTAGCCATGAACATACCTGTCGCAATTTACGATATACGGGCGTGCCAGGACATTCGGCACCGTCAGCAGCCACAAATTTGCATTTTCTACGGTGGACTTCGGTGTAGAAGCTAGGACGCAGCTCAGCACAAGGGAGCAGGGATATGAGAATGGGAACGCACGCTGCAGCTCGGATGGACATGGAAGATATATCCCGTACATTTACGGCGCGATCAGCTTCCCACAGCTCACGCATGGCATCGTCGTCCGGCTCGTAGTGTTCATGACCATCCAGTAGAGATTGATCGAACTGGCTGCAGATCCAGACCCCTTGGCATTGGTGCGTAGCAGCCTGGCACGGCACATTACCCAATGCCACCACATTAGTTGGTTTGGTACGAGAGCCACCTGTGCCCTCGCCCCAGGAGTCTTGGTCCTGTTACATAAATTTGACGATCAGATGTGAATGAGTGGGTGGAGAATAAATTGCGGCACCTCAGACTTGATAATAGCTATCATCGAGAGCGGCTCGTTCTTCTTATCGAGCCATTCCCTCTGGTCTTCCGAAATATCGAGCAGGTACGCGAAATCGCCGTCTTCGGGATGCGGTACGACGGGATCTTCATTATTGTCCGAATCTCTGAACAGGAGAGCTGCTTGGAAATAACAACTCTTCCATCGGATTTAGACCGTTTATTACGTTTAGCGCGTTTCTTTGTCGACGTAGATTGGATGGGCGAGTCGGACTCGGAGTCCGAGGTGATGCAGATGACGTCCTCAGGCTGGCGCTTGCGCTTCTGGTGGCGGAGCAGCGGTGCAGGAGGTGGGGAGTCCGTCATATCGACAGCATTAGAGCGAGGGGGAGAGCTAAGTAATGATCGCATCGCGCTAGGACTCGGGTGTATGCGCGAACTGGAATGTACTGGGAGAGGAGCAGGTGGGATGGGAGAGGATTGGTGGGCTGCCAGGGAATGCATTGGTGTTGATGCTGGCACTGGCCTATGAGTGGAAGGGGTGCGGGGTGCGGGGTGCTGGGGTTGGTGGCACAGATACGGCGGTGGTCTGGATGGCGTGGCTGAGCCATCACATAAACTTGTCGAAGTCAAGCCAATTCACAGCATTTTCGACAGTATAATACCCCAGAGCAACTAGCAGGGGCGGAAACGTCTAGATTTCGCAGGGAAATTCCGGCGCAGGACAAGAGAAAACGATAGAATATATGCATACCTGCTTTATGTATGCCGCCAGATGTTCTTCACCTGCAGCCGCTACAATTTGATTTATTTTCTGCGCAGCGGTAGGGTCTATTTCGTCCATTGGGGCCAGGGAGGATGGCGGGAGGAGGAGAAAATCGCAGTGTATTTCGTTGGGTGGCCTGCATCCTTACAATGGGTGGCCACAGATTATCTGATTGGGAGACGCGTCGGGCGCGTCAATGGGAGAAGCAAGCACGGGTATGTCACATATTGTCACACATCGCGCACATCTACTGGGCCGACTTCACTTCTACTGGCTTTGACTTCTACTTCTACTGGCCTTGACTTCTACTTCTACTGTGGCACTTCTACTTCTACTGGATCACTTCTACTTCTGCAACTTCTGTATTTACTCTGGAGAAATGTGTCCCCCCTTCTACCCCCCTCCATATTAGACTCATCAGACTCCTCAACTGATATCCGCGGCACACCACAGCTCGCTCAGAGTAATGCTACATATACACGTATTCTTATCCCACATAAATCCAACTCGTCGAATTGACTATTGAATTCGCCCCGCATTGACTCGGATGTGACTGGGACTCTGGGAGAAGGTGAATCCCGCCCACGAAAAGAAGAAGAAGAAAAAACAATAGGGACACCGTATGTGGGCGCCGGGAGTAGATCCCGGGTCTGCTGCTTCAATCAATGATAAGAAGGCAGCCGTGTTCCATACACCGCACCCGCTTCCTCCTACCTGTTATCGCAGGCATCTTAACCCCATGGATTGCTTATGCCGCATAAATTCAACTTGGTGGATTGACTTCACTCCGACTCGGATGTGACTAGTTCACTAAGAGAGGGTGGGTGATTGAACTAAGCGAAGGGGAACGGTATCTACAAAAATCAAGGCATGAATTTCACTCATGCGGGCGCCGGGAGCCGAACCCGGGTCTGCTGCTTCAATTCGAGGGAATATGAATGAACATTGAAGGCAGGTGTGTTCCGTACACCACACCCGCTTCCTCCCTTTCTCTAGCCCTCCTCCATATCAGACACATCAGAGGAGATTCGGCTTATATCCGTGGCATGCCACAGCCTACCCAAAATAATGTTACATATACACGTATTCTTATACCGCATAAGCTCAGCGCGTTGGATTGACTTCCCGCGTTGACTCGTATGTGACTCAGACACTAGGAGGCCATGTCTGATTCGCCCATAAAGTGCCTACGAAAATCAAGGCAGAGAAAAAAGGTAAAGTCCCATCCTATGCGGGCGCCGGAAGTCGAACCCAGACCTGCTGCACTAATCTCCATGCCAATTTTTTCAGTGAAAGTAGCGATGCACCATACACCACACCCGCTTCCTTCCATTCTCGTTCTCTCTCCCTAAGCCCACCTCTCATTGAAGAGATTATGCCCTGGTAAATATGTCTCATCCGCTGTCCCTCTATACTTAATTCGGCTCGTTGCAATGGATTCAACCGGGCTGAGTCCATCCAAAAATGAATGATATCATGATGCCAAGAAGAAGACCTCCAATCGACGTGGACCAAAACACGGCAAGCACAGGCAAAAGCCACTGCGAGTTGGATGAGCTATGCGGGCGCCGGGAGTCGAACCCGGATCTGCTGCTTTAACAGGGAAGGCAGAGCTGTTCATATTGAAGACACTGGCCGTGTTCCATACACCACACCCGCTTCCTCTTCACTGTTGTCGCAGGCATTTTAAATTTGACCCCCTCTTACGGGTCTTAGCGAAGGCATTCATTCTGATTGCATGCATGGATGCCACATAAATTCAGCTCGTTGGATTGACTCCCCCGAATCAACTCGGATGTGGCTGGTACGTACATTTAATAAGAGGAGGTGAATGCTGCCTCCAAAAATTAAACCAGAACAAAAAGCCAGATTTCATAAAGTATGTGGGCGTCGAGAGTCGAACCCGGGTCTGCTGCCTCAGTGGAGTGCTTCCAAGGAAAAGTGGGCAGCCGTGTTCCATACGCCGCACCCCCTTCCTCCTTCCCCTTCGCCCCTCATCTTATTGATGACATTCTGACCTGGTAAATATCCCTCATGCTAATACATAACTCAACTCGTCCCAACGAATTTGATTAGGACCCGACGTGCCGGGTCCAGGAGAGCATGTTCGATTTATGTGGTTAGGTTCGATTCAACCAAGTGAATGCCGCCTGCAAGCCAACAAAAAAAACATAAAAATGGGGGGAAAGCATCAGCTTGATGTCGTTGATATGCGGGCGCCGGGCGTCGAACCCGTTGTGGGACGGCATGCGAACCTTAGCTGTCCTAGTGGTCTATACCCCCACGACTCTGCAGTGGAAAATAAGGCATTCTGGGACACCATAACGGATATTTGGCTTAAAGAAGATCTCCCCGTCCCAGATTCTGTCCTCGGCGACCTAAATGTGCTAGAGGAAAGTATTGACCGCTTTCCCCACCGACTGGACGAAGACGGCGCAACCGAGGCGCTTTCCCGCTTCAAGAGACTCCTCGAGCTCAAGGATGGCTGGAGGGCTACAAACCCGGACCTCAAAGCCTATACCTACACCTACCCCACGAGGTCCCACTCCCGGATCGACTGTATTCTCGTCTCTCCATCTCTGTTCAAAAGCTGCCGGAACTGGGATGTGGCAGTAAAAACAGACCATCGTATGGCCTCGGTCAATATTTGTGCGCCAGGTGCCCCTACATTGGGAAAGGGAGATTCTCTATCCCTCTATTTCTCCTACGTAACAAGGAATTCATTACATATGCAATCAAGGAAGGAGCCAAGGTGCTCCCCAAATTGCGGAATCTTTCGGAATCGAAATCAACCAACTTTCTATTGGGCCTCGGTCGTGTCTCGCTCCCTCGATATCCGGCCCGATCACAGAACTCGCGAACACGACCGCACGTGGTCGTGTTTCCCGGCTTTCCTGAGCGCGCCGCTCTGTTACCTCTTGTGGTTCGTGCAAAAGGAGACACGCTGTCCGAGTGCAAGTCTCTAGACAACTGGGGGTGGAGATATGCACTGTGTGGGCAGAGGTCCACACAGGGACTGAGTCACTGAGATCGACAAATATCTTTCCAGTGAATATAGGGGTGATTGCCCACGGACTACAGCGTTATGTGAGAGGAAACGAGTGCCTTGAAGATCGGAACAAACACCTTGATGTCGGAAAGAAACCCTCCAAATGCAAACGGGACGATGGCCGAGAAGCCCGAACGGCATGAATACGGAGGTGGACCGTTCTGAACGGGGTCATGAACGTAACGCTTACTAGCAAAGGCACTTAGCTGTTGCAAAACGGCAGGAGAACGAGTAGAAAGTCCGGTTGAGCGTGGCATGGTACGCGGGTGGAGGCAGGAAGCTAGATACGTATGGTCCTGTTTGACGGAAACACGACCACGCGTGTTCGCGAGTTTGGTGATCGGGCCGGATATCGAGGGAGCGAGACACATACATTCGATAATCCCTGGGAACCGGCGTTCCTCAGGGGACCGTGCCGTGTATTTCTACCTACCTACCTACCTACCTATGAGCCCAACATCTGTCCGACTTGATGTTGGGTTCTAATTTATTCGGAGAGTGTATTGTTTGCTTCGCGAACTTGACTCCTCCATTTCAAGGAAAATTCTACTGAGAAACCCGGTTGCAGGCGGAAACCCTTCCTTTTTTGGTAATTCCGCAGAAATCCCCGCCGATTCGGCGCCGAACTTTAATGAGAAACCCCATCTGCCACGGCGATCGAACCGTAAGCGGAGTTTCAAAAGCGGGTCTCCGATATTCGACCTCATCTCAGGATAATTCTATTCATTGCAGACAAAAACCCTTTCTTATTCGGAAGCCCTCAGATAATCAGATTATTGAACTTTCGGGTTTCTGTCTGATCCGGGCCTCCGGTCGACACCGAATAACACAGTAAGTCGCGTCGAAAAATGTTTTCGGGGTGTCCTCGTGTCTCTCATCCCATATGTGGTCTGCCCCGAGTCTCGGAGCTTGGCACAGCACTAAGCATGAATCAGGCTTCTCGGTGAGGGCTGCCGACTATTGCCGTTAAGAGGTGCGGTTCCGTCGGAAATTAGCCCTCGGCATGGTCACGGCACGGCTACCCGTCAATTTCCTTTGCCTCAAAACCAACTGCCAGAGAAAAAAAACAGTTAGTTAGAGGTGAACGATGCCGGTTTTTGATCCAGTCAATTGCTCCAAAAATGCAATGCAGGGGCGAGGAAACTGAGCCCGTTGAAGCCGAGAGAGCCGCCGAGAGCGCCGAGTCATGAGTTTCCCTTTTCACCTCCAATCCATCTTCCGCTCGTGTCTCTACGACAGGCCGTGTATAGCCTCTGGAGATTCTCTTCAGCTGCTCAAGTGTTCAGCTGAATACTCACATCGCGGCTGTCGCGGCCACGCCGAAGACCACGTTCTCGCGTCGATGGAGTCTGGACATATATACTCATACCACTTGACGGGCCCTCAAACTATAACTAGGACCGTGCGCGCCGGAGAGTTCACTTTTCGGCTTGCAAAACGGGCTTGCGCCCGCGCCAACGGGCTTGTTTGGGCTTGGGCTTGGATTTGGGTGTAGATCAAAGCCCAAGCCCGGCAGATCGGCTTGCAAGCCCGTTTGTCGGCTTGGCAAGCCCGTTTGTTCGCTTAGCCGAGAGACGGGCTTGTGAGTATTTCTCGTCCCCCTTGGACTAGTTTATCGATCTGAGTAGACAGACTACGTGTAGTAAGTACATACTTGAAGGGCTTGCGATTATTTATGGTATTTTGCTCACCGATGTAATGATACGCCATCGCCGCCGACGATGACACAGGGCAACATTGTCAATTCACCTCCAAAACACGGGCTTGTCGTACTCAGTGTGGTCTCATCGTCTCTATGCACCCCTGGAACCAATGGGTTTTCCACAACTCGAATTACCGGTCTACTAGAACTACGTCTTTCGAGACACGTTAGCATTTACTGATAAAATGACTCAAGATTATTTTATTATCCCAATGCTGACTCCTAATACGAGATTCAGCGAGTCTATCACTAAAAAAGACCCTAACCGTTTCAAGGTAGTCTAATTCTCAACCAGTGCATTGGAATTCAGTCTGGCTTGGGTAGCAGAATGGCTTGTATCTGGAGTCCTAAATCATTCCCCAGACTGACCACGAAATAAATTGCCCACATTGAGGATAAATACTCAAAGACCTGTGCCATACATGATCTAGAGGCTGCTTGGGCGTCGACGATGAAATTTCGAGTTGAGAGACGCGCAAGCCCTGTTGGTCTGATGGTACAAGCCCGTTTGTCTGATGCCATCAGACAAACGGGCTTGGGCTTGATCTTGGCTGCGACAATGTTCAGCTGGGAATGAGCTTCAGAAGCATAAATTACGATTCAAACCTAACGTATCTGTCGAATCAGATAGGTTTGATACATGATTCTGTCATATAGGCCTCCAAATCCGGTTGATTTCGACATGTAAGTTAAACGCAAGCCCGTTTGTCTGATGCCATCAGACAAACGGGCTTGCGTCGGGCTTGTCGATAATTTGGAGGGATCCTGGTATTTTTTAACTCTGTTAATGCTTGTGACCTTTTGTGTTATTCTTTTGTCCCAGTTTCACAAGGGAGGGGCATTTTTTGGCTTACAAAACAGGCTTGTTCGGGCTTGTGGATCTGGATGTAGCCGCAAGCCTGGCAGATTGGTTTGCAAGCCCGTTTGATGGCACAACAAGCCCGTTCACTTGCTTAGCCCAGCAGAATCATGGAATGTAATAATTAGGTGTATTCTCCATGCTCTGAAAATTACTTTGAGAAATACGCACTGAGTCCCGAGTCCCGTATATCACAGCATATCTCCGCGCAACTTTCGACTTGATAAGCTTGTGGTTTTTAGTTCATATTCTTCTAAATGGCCCGTCTTAAATGTCATAAATCAGTTTGTGATAACTACGATGAGGTATCGTGCAGCCTGAGACAGTATGAAGTCACATCAGGCTTCCGGTCGCTGAAGCGTGATGTGACGCGAAATGCAATACTAAATTAAACTGTTGTCCCCGCTGGTGATATGAATAAAACTGAGGATATCAACGATGAGCTTGCGACTGGGCTTGCGCTTGCGCAGAACGGCTTGTGCCACATGCTATAACCCTTTTTGTCCGGCCAACGGGCTTCTGCGCGGCTTGCCTCAAAAAATTATCCAGCCTCCTCCTCGATCCAAGCCATTAATTCCTTGCAAATTAGAAATATTTAGATCCACTCAAAGTATCTTGAATCAACGAAGGCTTGTCAGAACCAATGAGAGACTGATTCAACCAGAGTTCCTGCCACCCAGCCGGCTTGAGCGAAACGGCTTGGGACCAGACACCGCGGCTTGTATCGATGGCTAAACCGGGCTTGTGTTGATGGCTTAGGCTTGGGCAAATGAGCTCAGTTTGTACATAAAAGCTCAACAGTCTTCCGAAAACCATCACGGTTACTCAATGCGCCGGTGGCTCTTGAATAAATTTATAACCATTGCCTTCGACATTAGATATCACTGTGAAGTCAACAAAGCAATTATCACATTTCAGGATTTTAAGCTGTTTACAAGGCATGTTAGGGATTATGAAGTCTGCCGTGGATTATTTTGGCATTGTCTTGGGTCGAGATATGCTCGGGCTTGGGCTTGAGCAGCATGGGCTTGCGTACAACTTGTGACAAA